GGCCAAACATGAGTTCCTGACAGACCGAGTGCCTGCCTTGGCCTTGCAGCTAGCCCTGTAATGACAGCAACCTTGAGGCCTTCTGACACATTTAAAACCACTCTTATAACAGCAGGGGAAACGTGACGCCCACCAAGCCACATAGATGCTTCCAGCCCTGAACCTCACCGCTCGAAGACCTGCTTCCTCCCTCCCCAAACTGAAGCGTTCCACCGCTCCAAGTGAGGTTCGGGCGTAGGGATGAGGCGTCCAGTTCGACCTTGGGCGATGGGTTTGAGAATTCGGTCTAGGATGCAGGGTTTGGTCTAAGAGTTAAGGTTTAAGCAGCTTCCTAGTTTGGGGTGTTCCACTTTTTCTAGGGTGTAACATATATGATGTAAGGATGTGGAAGGTTTAGGGCGGATGGTGTACCCGTCCACAAAGTCCCCCCACTCAAGACGGCCACATACAATATCTGCCAACTCCCCGTGTAGACTTGAACTGTTAGCGCCCGTCGTCGCCCAAGCCCCAAATGAAAGAAATCAAGCAGCTGAACCCTCAACCTCCAAGCCACTCTACAGTTGCGAACAGTCCATGCCCGACGTCTAACTATCCCAACATCGTCTACTAAGACCCTTTTTATGCAAACCAGGGATCCATCTTCTCAACGTCCCCTGGGCAAAGAAAAAGCTTCCATAAATAGTATACCTTGGGTACTGCACTCCCCAGTAACAGTCTATATTAGGGGTCCTATTCAGGCCTATATATACCCGTATTATAACTATTATCCAACTGTTACTGAGGGGGGGCAGTACCCAAAGTATACCCTATTGCGGCCAGATTTTCTTAGAATGCTGTGCACCCAACCAAGCAACTCCTTTTCCCTACCGCTGCAGCGAGGAAGTTGGGTCTCACAGAGCAACTTCCAAGGCACCCGTTTGGGCTCGCCTGGCAAGTTCTAATCTCCCCTAAAGGTCCAAGTACCTAATAATCATCTACTTCCCCAAAACCTGTACTCTAACTACCTACTATTACTCAAAACCCAAGTACCAAATTACTGGATACTTGGACCCTCTGGGTCCTAAGTCCTACCACTCAGATCCTGCTGTGACAACTGCTTCAGGCACTCCGTTGGTATGCGCAAGACCGTGGCGCCTTTTCCGGCCGCTAGTAGCCAGCCTCAAGCGGGGAGTTGGCTTCAGGGGTTAGCTTGCAGGGTTTGAAGTCTAAACTCTTGGCTGGTCTAGGGTCCACGGCTAAACGTCTATGGCTCCAAAAAATGTTGTTCTACATGTGTCCTTGCATTCATCTGTACAAGCCGCGAAATACATTCAGGCTCGAAGGTGTGAATAATGACCAGGCCTGGTACCTACTCTCAGCTGCTTAGAGCGGCAGATCCAACACGAACCCCTAAATCCTAAACCTCTACACCCTCAATCCCAAACCCTAAACCTGCTTGCGGCTCGGATGCCATCCTGCTCCGGACCGGCCATGGACATGCCTGGGCGGGCAAAACCCCAGGCGTACAGGTACCCCAGTTTTTGGGTTTATAGAGGTTTAGAGGCTTAGTGGTTAGGTTCAGGGGTTAAGGGTTTAGGGTCAATAGGGTTTAGTGGTCAGTCCCAAAAAACCATTCGGAATAGAGTAGTTTGGACTTGGAACCCACGACGCACGCAACAGGCGCGCGCCACAAGGTTGTACTGCTACCGATGTAACTTCTTCAGCTTCATAGTAGGCTTCCAGCCAATGGTCCTACATACTCATGATGTTCACTATCCCGCGCCGCAATTTCTGAGACGGAAGCGCCTTATAAATTATAATATATAGTAGTTTCCAGTCTATGTTCCATTATCCCTATATAACCCCCAATAATATACCCCATATTCTAGCTACTTAAAAAGGCGGTACAGGCTGGAGGAACTTACTTGGCACAACTGCGGCAGCCTGGGCTCGTGTGAAGGTACGGATACGTGAAAGCTCACGGCGAGGCTTTGGGAGGTCACTTGGGGGTTTCCCAAAATTAAGGGTACCCCTTTGGAGGTCCCCATAATAAGGACTACAATATTTTGGGGTCTCTATTGGGGTCCCCTTATTTTGGGAAACTACCACTTTTTTGAGGGAAGCTGGCAGGTGAGCGGGCGGAACATGGGCGCTTTTTGTACTCTGCTAGCTCACGCCTCCGTATTCATACTTACCCACTTCCTCTTCCTGTTCTTTGTCTTGGGTGTACCCTCCTTTAATATGCCAGTTAGGGTACAGGCGGGGGGCACTTCTGAAACAAATATTTGAGCCCAAGCCAAGCTGCCATAAAAGCCAGTCAGTGGAGGACGTTGCCCCAGGCGCAGAAGGATGGGTGGGGCCTCAAAACTGCCAAACATACAACTGTTTGAGGTTGATGGGGAAGGTGGCTTTGAAGGCTTGCGCGCATGGGGTGTGACAATATTCAGCTTGGACATTGCGCAGTTTTTCGGAAAGGCCCTGGCCATAATTCAGCCGCTTTCCTACCTGGGGAGTTTTGATAAGGGCTGTTCAGGGAGTGGTGTGTGCTTTGAATATCCCTTTTTCCAGGACTACTTGGGACGCCCTCAACTTCAAACATCTCAAGTGAAGATTTGGGATTCTCAAGGGCATGATCCGCATCTTTTGTGGCAGTACTCAGACGCTAGGCAAAGGCTCATGATTAGCGCTGGCCAGGCCGCCATGATGAAGACATGCTTGCTGCAGCTTAATCCGGTTGTGCTTGTTGTCCTTGCTATTTGGGAGCTTTCATTTCTCCAGTTGGAGTAGCAACCCTTCAGAGTTCATTGAAACCTGTGTGGGTCTTCTTGTGCCCAGGATAACCTAGGAACAAATACGGTGGCAGCTCCTTCCTCATCTTCCTGCAAGCCTGCAAATTCTTGCCTCTACCCTAGGGCCTGATATGGCATGTTGAGAGCCAGAGAAGTCGCGGGGGTTCTCAAAATATGCGCCCCTTGGAAAAGGGCCCTATAGCTATGTGCTGGGATTTCACAATTGTTCAAGGGCCATGCCTTCATGATAATGTAGGGGGTCATGGTGGGTGAGTGTGAAGAAATGCCGTGTAGCTGGATCAACTCCTGATCACCAATACCAACATCCTTCTCTCAAGCCTCTTCCCTGCACCGAAGTAGAATTGTCATGTTGGAATGCCTGTCCCTAACTGTCGCTAGCTCGCTGAGGTGCAACATGGCTGGCTATTGCGCATTCAGTATTATACAGCACGCAGACTAAGACTGTCGCAACCATCCACTTGGACTACCAAAATGTGGTGAAAAAACTCGCCATTCCAGCAAGCCTCGAGGGCTACAAGGAAACCTGGATGTCCGCATCATCCAACTTCATCATCACAGCTGAACGTCTTCGGACCGAGTTCCGCACCGTGAGAGCGCCAGGGAGGCCCTGGGCTGCGCAGGCGTCGTGCAATGTCTGTGCGTCAGCAGCGGCGAATCGGACGATATCGAAAGACCTGAGAGCGTTTGTGCTTGGCAAGGCTCTCCGTGAATATGAGCTAGCCAGCTGGTTGGCTTGCAAAACGTTTGTTGAGTTTGCACATCTGGTATTGTGCATGCTGCAAGCAAGCAACTGCATGTGCTTCATCAGCATAAAGGTACCTTTGGAAACCCCAGGGCTGCAGGTGGCCTATGATCTAGGATTTTGACAGCACCTGTTCCGCATCGGAAATAGGGACAGGTGGAAATCTGGATGTTGCCAGGGTGTATGACGCATACAGAAAGCATCTCAGCGCAAACTACTCTACATCGGATGAGGGCCAGAGCTGAATTTCTGCTTGAAGCCCTGCCAAGATACCCGTCGAGGATGAACAGCCATAAGGGCATAGGCAGGAGAGGCTGGCCTTCGGTTTAGGGTCTAGGGTTTAGGGTTTAGGGCAGCTGCGCGAGAGATCACTGACCAATGCTCATATGTCGTGAGTCATACATACATGGATATTTCCACAAATGGAAGGCCGTCTATATACCCGCATTTCTCGTAAACTTTATTATGGAGACCCCCCCCAAAAAAAAACAGGGACAGCTAATCTTCTGAAAGCCCTACATGGAATCAGCAGCCATAGTAATGCACGGCCACGAGAACCAGGATGAACATGGCTCATGAGGTCACATAACACAGCAATACGATGTAGAAACACCATGGTCATGACGATATGCGGGTTACATTGGAAAGCTTCCAATATGTAAGGTCAACTTTTGTAGCAACAACCGATCATCGGCTTGCAGAAGTTGGGGTGTCTGGAGGGAAGGACTCTGCCTTCGTCAGGGCTAAGCAAAGGATATGTGGAACAAGCTAAACCTTGCTATGACTGCTCATAAGACTGCTATGGGCCAATATGCCTGAACAAGCTCTAAACATCCCCAAGAATCCGTAACAATGCCTCAGTCTGTAGGGGGATGAAGCAGACCTTTTGATGCAATCGAGCGCAAACTGGTAGCAAACTGGCATGCCTAGCAAAGATGTGCTCGTGACTTGATAGGTATTGGTTGCTGTTACAACTAGATGCGACGTCATAACAAGGTGTTTGTTTGCATCACTGGTCTGCGCTGTGCTCAGATATTGAAGCGGGCTAAGGGCCTCGTGTGTAGGAATATGCTGGGTCCACATTCGCATGGCATTTTGCGGAAGTGGTGGGCTGTGATCCCGGCGCCCTTGCACTCAACCACCTTTGCTACGGACAAGTGGCCTCTCAATCTGACTGGCTGACTTGAAGCCTGAGTGCGCCGCTGCAGGCGTGAGTAATGTGCAGTGGTGGACCCTGTGTGAACCCTCACCACAGTATTTCCGCAGACCAGAACGGCAGTTTAAAAACCCAGCGCTTCGCTGTGAGTAAAAGCATTTGTGCTGCCTCTTCTTGTGCAGCCAGGAGCCCGCAATTGCAGTGTGCAGCTTGTCAACGCGCGCACACGGCAATAGCAAGGAAGAAAGAAAAAGGCTCTGGGCACCTTGGGCAATGACAAATGGCCTGACTCTGACTGACTGGTGAGCCAGGTCTATGGGTATCTAAATTTGATAGACTGGCCATGGTCCTTCGTAGTGAGTTTACTGTGCTGGACCTGCTCCTTGTCGATATAGATGACGGGCACGCTCTCAACTCCAGCATCCTTGAATGTCCAAAGCCGCCGGTTGTCAGACGAATGCCACTTTCCGTTCCACCGGAACACGTGGATGGGAGGAACATCGCTGACTGAGATGGCGCCTTCCCGCAACTCCTTCGAAGTTGTCCTGACGTCTTTTCCACCAGCAAACTTGGGGCTGATTGATTCCTGGGAGTAGCGGATCGTCCTTGGGTCCATCCTGGAAACCAGAGTTTCACTAAACATGCCGGGCTTGCGAACCTCCATCCTGAGCATAGTGTAGCGCACAACCTTGCCACGCTTTCCAAAGACTCGCCCCTTGTTTTTGCGGTTCTCCGAGAAAGAAAACTCGTCGTTTTCCTGATGTTCTATGCAGAACTTCACTTTGGCTGAACAGTACTGAAAGAAGAACTCCTCTGGCTTGAAAGGCGCCTTGCATGCTGGACAAAGGATGGCACCGTCGCACATATGCTCGTTTGGCCGATGGGTGCCCATGCCAACATTGCAGACCGTCAACCCGTTGTACTCAGTTTTTTGTGAAGGACAGTGCATCGATTGGCAGGTACCTACATAAGCCAAGCCGGGCTTTAGACATAGCCAAAAGCGAATATTGTCCCCCTGACGTAAATCTGCCTCACCAGCGAGATGCTCGCTTGTGTAGTCACTGTAGCCCGGGCTGGCTCTCACATCTGGGCATTCAAAGCTCACACCTGAGCGCTCGCTCATGGCAGTGGTGATTCAAGAGCTGCAACAGCTTTGAGCACATGAAGCTCCAGAGGCGCAACCGTTGGTTCTCAGACTGAAAAGGCTACCTTACACGACAAGCTCTCGGCATAGACCAGTGCATGGAATAGCATGCCATGCCTCGCTTCTTCGCTCCTAACAGATCTCCTGTTGGTTTTGTTGATCATGTGCTGGCTTATGTTTTGGCTTTCTTTGAAATCTGCGCAGGTGCAGCTGCCGCGCATGGCTTCACTTGTTCTTACAAAAACCTTGGTTTGTGGCTATAGAAATGCACTTGTCCAATCCACATGCAAAAACCAGTGCCTCGCGGTAAGAAGTGGACGGAGATCTCGTGTAGGCGCCGGCGCAAGGCTGTAGACCTCTGGCGACACCATGAAGCGATTAGGGATGCCTAGTCTGGGGCCCCCAACCAGAAATTTGCTCTCCCAAGGCTCAAAATCCCACAGGAAGTCCATAGCTAGCAAATGCCAGCCCCGCACCCCGGACCACAGAATGCGCCCTTGCTTCCAACCCATGATCTGCATCCAGAAAGGCTGCAAGGAAATGAGGCCAGGCATGATCCGCAGCAATGATGCCAAGGACTCAACCTCCACCTGTCGGGTCGGTGAGACAGGGAAGGGAAAGGAACCTGCTGAAGAGAAAGGCAGGGTTGATCAGGGAAGGAGAAGTGCTTTAGTTAAAGAGCCAGATGCTAAGGAACAAGCCCTGTAGAAAACCAAGACAGAGCAAAAACAATTCAGAAGGAGATACTCTAAAGCTGAAACACAATAGGCAGAAGAAAGAGAAGCACATGACATGGGAGTGAAAACCACAATAAAGCATGATCAGCCAGCCGCCTCCGTCAGGCGACCAGCCGCATCTCGCTGCCCGAATGTCCGGGCCTGTGACCATTCAGTATAATAGCAATTGCTAGCAGTAGCTGTCAGCATTGAGTAGAAACTGCAAAGTTAACAATATGGCAGTTTCCTACATTAGGATCCCCCTGTATACGCTCAACTGTAAATGCGCCATCATCCTCATTGTTACGAACCCGGCATCAGAAAAGCACAAGTCACCGCACCCACTAAATCCCAAAGCGATTGGTTTTAAGACAGGAGCCCGTCAGGAGGTAGTCCTTAGAACACGCTGTCGCCTCCAAAGGGTGCGCCAAAAGAACAGCCCATGTGACGAGCGGCAACGATACCAGCCGCCCAGTGTCTATGAGCTGCTTCGCTTGTCTGGGGCTCCTCAACCAGGCGCTGATATTGGCCCTTGGCTCTGCTCACAGTTTGCCATCCTGTGAAGCAAGCTATATGTTCGACCCTGTGCAGCTTTAGATTTGTATGACAATCTAAATCTACAGGCCTGTGGGGTCAGGAAGGGACTGCCAGGCCTTTTACCATCAGTGCAGTGGACCAAGAGTCCCAAGAAGCCATAGACAATAAGGATTTCGCCGGTTTCAGGCAGCAACAATATGATTCCACTCCCAGGCGCATAGGAGCTTATCCTGTCGAGGGCCAGTTCACGCTGGATGGCTCTGATCGACATGTCCGGGTGCGCCATGCGCCTCCTGCAGCAAGAAGGTTGGGCATTGTCGCGGACCAGCTGGGGAAGGCATGCATGGGGATGTTTCTATCCTGGCATATTCACCACGGCTGCCAAGAGAGCGGCGCGTGCGCGCATGTGTTTTTTCATTGCTTTACATGGATGCAAAATGCCATGTAGGACCTGGGAAGCAGTTCCATGTAAAATCTGTGGGACACAGGATCTTGCTCTGTCCTCTGACAGCTGTGGTATGACTGCAAAAATACAAGCAGTTTTCTAGCCCAGCATTCGCGGTATCTTTACCATGGAGCTGAAGACGGGGAGGCCGCCCCTTGAGAACTCTTCAAAGCGGGCTACTAGGATGTCTCAAAACTAGCACCCCTCCCAGGCCCCGCTATGACACTTACTCTAAAGTGTGTACCCAATTATGCCAAGTAAGCTGCGCCAGACAGCTGAAAGGTAGCGAGCACCCTCAACCAAAACAGTCAGGGGCTTTTGTAGAGAGCAGCGTGCCTAAGTAATCAAGGACTTACACATGCCTTGATCCTGCTGCTTTTATGTCAGGCTTAAGCACTTCAAGCCCTGCACAAGACACAGCGCTGCATCTTTACCGACCAGAAAAAACTTCTGTCCTCAAACAAGCCGTAGCACGCCTCAGCGAAGAAACATGGACCCCTCCCTTCCACCCCTTCCTACTTGAAGGTGAGAGGGATTTAGGTTCTAAGACCAAATACGGTCCTCATTAGGGTCATGAACCTCGAAACCGTCAGGGGCATTCTGGTGGCCTCACCAACTCGAAATCCGCCCAAACTTCCGCCTGTCGGTCTGCGGAGCTCGAGGCTGTATATAGGTTGTAGGTTTACAGGATTGAGGGAAAGAAAGGCTGGCTCAGTGCTCCTAGGACCTATAGGGGTCACCTGGGGGACTCCATCCCTGATCCCTTGGCTAAATGGCGGTAACGTGTGACTAGATGGCGAAGGACATATGTCCTACCACGACGTGGTCTCTGAGTTGGGCCTGTGCATTTGGGGCTGGATCTACAGACATACCCCGAACCAAACAAATAAAATTACACTTACCAACATCAACACCCTCTGAGCAGAAGCTGAACTAATGCTAAAAGTCTTTTCAAGCGTGGCTTCAGGGATGCGGCGCTCTTCTTTTAAAGATAAGCTCACCAAAAAGCTGCTGAACCCTCCAAGTAGACTCTCGCAAAACAACACATTCTAAACTCACGAAACTATGAACCCTAACCCCCTAAAGCTTGGACACCCTAAATCCTACACACCAAGCCCTTGATCCTCAGCGAGCCTGTCGGTCGGGAAGCCTGGCACCTGCTAGCGCACGCCGCGCAAGCCTTGTGACTTTCCCCGCGTTCAGAAAATCATGGGCCTGTGTATGTACTATGGCCTAAACTCCTTAAATAGGGGTTATATGGGGGATGATATAGGGAACTAATATGGGGGACTATAGGCGTTATTAAGGCGGATACTAGGTTTTTAGACTATAGCTCATATACTCAGACGGGGTACATAGGGATGGTGTTCATAACATGTGGGCACTCGCAAGATCACGCGGGATTTAGGCGTTGGGGATCTTGAGATTTAGGGATACAAGCTTTTTCGAGGACGCGCAGGATTGAGTGGTTAGGGGCCAGGATCTTGAGATCTGCGGTGTAGACTACGAGGTTCAGGGGGTGGGGGCTTCCAAAATGAGCGGTCCCTTTTTGAGGTCCTGTTTTGTTCGGTTGATACTTTTTGTGTAGGGAAACCTTAGCTTTTGGAGGTTGAAGGCTTGGGAGACAAGAGTTGAAAGTTTGGGCTTTCGGAATGCGTGTTTCTGGTGTTGGGGGTTCCGAGGTTTAAGGATTTGGGGCTGAAGTTGAAAGTCATAGTGTTTTCGCAAATGACCCCTCTAGCCTAAGAGCCACCAAGAGCCTCCCACTCTAAAACCACAACCGACAAAGCTAGCACTACCGCCTTTCCACCTAGACCCCTATACGCTACCCCTTTTTTGGATATCTAACTCTATGTCTAGCATCCTCTACTACAAAACTAGATAGCCTTAAAGCGTTGTATGGAGGTCTAGGCGGTCTAGGTAGTTCTCAGTTGAGGCGTCCTTCCAGGGGAAGTTGACCAGCCTCTAAAGCCAGGCCGCTGACTCACAGGTTATTAGGCTACAAGGTCTAGGAATGGAGTAGGATTCGGCTTGCAAGGAAGGCTTATCTCCCTAGGAGTCCAAGTATATGGATAATACCTATGTAATCTGATGTTCTCTGACAACCGCAGCAGCCCATTGGCGCGCGAAGGCACTAACGCTATGTGCAACGAGCGTGCCAAAAGCGCGCAGGCAAGGCGAGGCACTAGAATCCCTAACCTAAACGAACGAAAACAGAAAAAAACGGGCAGGGACCTAGAACCAAAACCCTAATAGCCAAACCTAGGGGCACCCGGGGGAGCGGCGGTACATGGCAGAACTGGAAAGAAGGCGACTGGCGGCAAGTGACAGGTGGCAGAAGCTGGCAGGGGATGCAAGTGATGCAGGCCGGCAACAGGAACAGAACGGGAGAAGTCACCAAGAAGCACTCAGTCGAGAAGCAAGCGCTCGGCCCCCTCCGCGTCTGGCAGACGGCGGAGGACGGCACTACCTACCTTGGGCCCTAAAGTCTGTAAATGCTACCTACATGTCAAAATTGAAGCAGGCCCCGCTTGCCTACCCCCCAAAACCACAATCTCAGAGACTCAGAGACTCAGAGAGGCACAAATGGTTTGTCAACCTTCACAGCCCCAATGATGTGCTTTCTCGGAAACCCCTTGATAATCCTGTGAACTCCATGCAGGGTTAAGTTTGTTCTCTCCATCCTACATGCCATATAAAAAGACTCTTCCCCTAAATCACCTTTCTGCTGCATCCTCAGCTCCCGGCAAGAGCAATGGCGGACTCAATCCGCGGCCGATGCACCAACTCACCTGAAGCCCAGCGACTTGGGGGCTTAGGATTTGGTGCTTTTGTCTTCTGTCTGCGGTAGCAGCCAGGAACCCTTTGCGGAGTGTTGGCCTTGAGCTTTTTCAAGTCTCGTTGTGTGGGACCCTTGTAAGCATCCATGGAAGCTCTACGTGGGAGGGCGTGGAGCCAGCATGAGCACAGTGGTGCCCAACTAGCCTACACAAGAAACAAACCAACACAATCATAATGGGTCATTGCTGGGATGGTATTGAGAATCTTTAATGTGCATCCATTGTTGCCGGTCTGCAGACAATACAAACTAGCAAGATGTCCAAGACTGACCGAATATCATACTGTGCTTTTTTGCGTTTCGAGATGTGGTCTTTGGGAGATTCTGGGGTCTAAAGATAAAAAGAACGCAGCGTTTCGAGGTGCTTTTAAGCTGGTGCGTGCTCAAAGTTATACAATGCTTTATAAAGTGACATAAAGCTTAAAGGCCTTGAGGGCCGTGACCAAACCGTACACGCTGAACAGCTCCACCTGATCATAAGGACCCTCGCGAGCAGAATTCTGAAAGTTCAACGATTTCAGGGACCCTGCCTCTAACCCCAACCCCACCCCCCGAAAGGACAGCACAAATGGAATTGCCAACCCTAGGGATCCGAACTTACTGAAGCTTCAACCCTGTAGCCCTAACCTTTGAACCCAAAACGCTAGGCAATAAAAACAAAAAGCGTATGAGACCTAAACCTTAACACCCTCAGCACCAATCCTGCCCACCCTCAGCCTAGTAGTACTAATGAGAGCATGTTAAACAAGGGTAATGTATTTGTAGTAGTACAAGTACAACATAACCAACAAGATCAATAAACTTGATTAAACAGAGCATCATACCAATATTGGTAGTATTAGATTTAACAACATTCATAACAGCCAATCACAGCAAACAAGTAACCTATCTGGTGCTCAGGGTGTGCCATGTCCGCAAATGCCCCAATAGCAGTCCCCATATTCACCCCGCCACTCCCCCTTAAGCACCATCAAATAGGCCCGAAGGGTGCATGTAGCTATGGTATATGCTTGGGATCCAAAGTTGCCATATGGGAACCCCCTTGAGCCCTGAATATATACCATATAACTACATGTACCCTGTACCCTTCGGGTAAGATCCCCTAAGCCCAAAACCCATTGCCCCAAACCCTGTACCCTAAACCCCTAAACCCCTAAACCCTGAACCCTTAAACCCCAAAATCTCTATAAACCCCAAACAAGGACCCGAAACCCGGACCCCTTGGGAGGTGCTTTGCCGCCACAGCTACAGCAAGGTCGAAGTCCCTGCAGGCGGCGCGGAAAGCTCCAGCGCGGAGTTGACAAACTCCACCTTGCCAGAGGGCTTAACCTCCTGGGATTTAGCACGGAATATGGGAGTGTTTATATATATATATACACAAACATATATATATATATATATGAGCTCATATCTCTATATATATACATATATATATATACATATATGTATAATGACATAGATAGACATATAGATACAGGTTTTGGGTTCAGGTTAGTAAGGAGTATGGGAATCAACGATATGGGGATTCCAGCGGGAAAAGAGCCCCTTATTCCCTTTTATATCCCAGTAAGTTAAGGTCTTAGGACTGAGGGCTTTAAGGTTAAGAGTTTCAAGGTGTTAGGGTTTAGAGGCTTAGGGGTTCAGGGTTTAGATTTTAGAGGTTGAGGGTTTCAGGGTCTTAGTCTTCAGAGTTTTACGGTTTAGTATTGCAAGATGTTAGGGCTTTAAGATTCAGGATCCCACAGTTTATGGCCTAGGGCTTGGGCCGTTGGGTTTGCTCTATGGCCTAAGGTGCTGGGTCTTGGGATCTAGGAGAGAATGTTATTGGGTCTCTTGAACTAGGGCTTCAGATTTGGGATCTAGATCGAAGAATAACACCAAGGGAAGCATCTACGTAAAAGGTTTCTAGCTTATGTTGTATGGGGATAAGGGGGGCTGCGCTCAAGGATAGCGAAGTGCTGCCTTCGCCAGGACTCTAAAAAGGGCTGAGTAGCAGGATTATCTGGTTTTTCACATGGCAAGTGGTGAAGCGGGCTTTGCCTGATGTTGTCATTGGTTTCTGTCAAAGCTTGCCAAGAGCCAAGAGCGACTCTTTGTTTTTGGAGCACTTAGGCCCCTACACTGGACTCCACTATGACTGAAGCACCGGGGACTTGTGGAAGCAAAGCAAGATGCAGCAAAGTCGCGATTGTAGGGATGCACCGGGTTGCCTCAGGCTGTCTCGGGGTCCTTTTTAACTTGCTTTGCATGTGTTGCAAAGAGCTGAACTCATTGCAATAAGGGTTGGGAGTTTTGCCTTTGCCTTCTGAGTTGAGTGGGCCTTAGCAGCAAAGTAAAGCCCAACTATGTTAATGGCTTCCTAGAAGGGCCGGTGTGAGAAGCGAAGCCTCTAGCATTTGAGCGCATGATGACAGACAAGGCATCACAGCATAAGCCCAATGATGATGTGATGCAAAAAAGCTCATGCCTTACGTTAAGGATTTAGGGTTTAGGGGTTTACGTTACTTGCCCTTGAACAGAGGCCGCCATCAAAGGTCCAAGCCGCCATAGTCTTCGGCAACGCACGATGCCTGAGCACTCACAGTATGGCCCGCCCCCGATTAGTGTATAATCTGGCCTGCGTAGCATCAATGGAGGCTTTCGGTGCATGTGGGGCCTTGTTTGTACAGACTGCAAACCATCTCACACCTCAGAAGCAAGTAAGAAGGTGTGGTCTGGCAGCTGTCAAAGGACAAGCACATGTATGTCATTCACGAGTTGTGAGAATGCTGCAGGTGTACAGCAAGCTTTTTCCGAGCATGAACATGTTTAGAAAAACCTTGCATACATGGACTCTACAATGGGAAGTGGCGATCAAGTCCAGTCATGGCAAGACAAAACCAACCCAACAACCTTGCCGTGGGGATTTAGATCCATAAGTACAACACACCCAATTTGGGGCCATTGGGATCCCCCCTTGATGGTTCAGGCAATCATAGCCCAATGATAACAGTCCATATAGCCCAATCAAACCCCTAAATCCTCTAAGTTCTAAGTACAAGTATTTCTGTGGGTCATAATTATAATTACCCTGTATCTCAAAATACAGGGCTTAGAGGCTCCCTGAGGCGCGTGCGAAAAGCCCGATGGCTGCCTCGTAGAAGCTCAGCGCCTCTGCCAGGAGAGGCTTTAGAACACTTTCTGGGTCATATGGGGTTCTACAGCGCTTATAAGGTATCTGTTGGGATGCTTTGTAATGTCTTGTAGCTGGGGGTGGGGAGCCCATATAAGGGTCGAGTATTTGGCCATGAAGAAAGGGCAACTACTGCTGCCCAGTTTGGAGGTCTGCGAGATCCCCAAACTCTTGACTCTTGACATGCTTTGGAGGGGTTCGTTGTACAAGATGTTGGTGACTTCCGGCAGTTTTCACATGGAGTGGGTCAAAAAGTAGCAACATGCTCGAACGTCACCACTAGCAGCAGTCCCAGACCAAGTTTCCTCCGTCCTCATCTCTATTTGAAAGCCCGCCACCTGAAGCATGAATCCTCAATGCCAAAGACAGCTGAAAAAGCTGGGTATACAATTTGAGGACAACATCCACACTGCGAATCCCAAGCCGTAATATCCTAAACCACAAAACCTATGAGCCCAAAAACCCTAAACCCCAAACCTAAAAACCCTATAAATCCGGATTTTGCTTGCCAAGCCCACGCGGGGTGGCTCGCACTGCGTGCCTCGAGGCAAACCCCCAGGGTCCATCTGAGCAACCTGGGCAACCCCAGAGGGTCGGGTCGATGTACCCAATAATTAGGTCCCTTTAAAGGGGATATATAGGGGATATATGGGGACGTATATAGGGGTATATAGGGTTTAGGATCCATGTATCTAATAATGAGGTACTTGGGAGTTGGGTAGTAGTAGTTATAGTACAGGCTTTGGGTAAGTATATAAATATTAGGTACTTGGACCCTTAGGGAACACTTAAATTCAGCTTTGAAGCCGGCTTAGGGTTGAACCCTGAAACCTTGCTTTCTGGGGAGCTGTGCAAGTTGTTAAAGTTATAATCTCCTTGGGCAAGCATAAGAGGCCCTCTTCTGATAGGCTGAAGGGGACGAACTCCGAAGCTTTACTCCATGCAGCTCCATGCAGCTCTCTCACGCTTCATATGGGATCCGTGCTTCAGGAACCATGGCATCAGAAGGTAGTGAATTGTGTAACTGCATGCATGTCGAATTTCGGGGCTCTGGATACCGCACCATCAACAAAAGCGGAGTCCGGAAAACAGGCACTCTCGAGAAAGGAATTCAGCGCCCAGCCACACTCCTCTTGATCGAGAATCCAATGCGTGCTCTGCGAACTTAGCAGTCGCAGCATCCTTTCCGCTTTGAGTTAGGCAGCACTTCTTATCCAGAAAGTGATGCGCGAACATGTTTCGCTTACAAACTGTCTGAGTGTAAGCTTGCGCGGGCGCTTGAGGTGCATCGTTCAAGTTGCTTTGGTTTCGGGATGTCTTTGAGCCACCAAGTAGTTCAGAGCAAGGTCCTCCCAAGTTCAGGAGATGAGTCGGAAAAGGCTGTCTCAGATGAAGCCTTGCCAGTCACAGCCCACCACGTTTGAATCCCCCACCCTCTGACAACAAGAAATGTTCTCAATATAATGCAGGTCTAGAGGAGGGAGGGTTCGTATAGAGGAGGGGGGGTTCATACTTTATGTTCTCAAAGCTCTCATGTCTGGGTACTTGGACCCTCAGGGTAAACAAGATGACCCCTATAGCCCATTTGAAGCAGGCCTTTTTCTTGATGTTCATAGCATCACCCAATCACCAACCTTGGTGTAAATGCAGCCCGGTGAAGTCGAAAAGGGCTCTTAGCAACTGATGTGACACATCACATGACACTCTCAACGCTGAGCCCAGATGTTCATCAGTGCAAACTTCTAGGTAGACCTGGACACCGAAAAGATATCTTGGCAATGAACCTTCCAAGATCTTCCAAGCCTTTGCATCATCCCTAGAGATCTGGTAGAAAATGCCTAAACCTGAGCCTCCAAACAAAGTACCCTAAACCCGAAACCCCTTAAACACCTATCTTCATTTCATTTTCCATTTTCTTTTCCAGTTGATTCTCCAGCGCCCCTAAACCCTGAAGCCTGAACCCTAAATTCTAAACTGTAAGCCCTTCGGATGGCCAAGAGGTCCTCGTCACGAAGGATCAGATCCCTGAGCTCCAACGCCAACTTCAGGTAGCCACCGGTTGAAATCCTTGCCAAAAGTGCGCAAATGTAAAACCTACCTACATACATACATACATACATACCTACCTACATACCTACCTACCTACGTACATACATACATACATACATACATATACACATACACATACACATACACATACATATATATATATATACATATCATATTTTAGTACAGTCTCAGAAGCTTTTACCATTTAAGTGAGGTACATACCCTAAACGATACGAAGATCTCTTATCTGATCGAGGGCGTATTACAAGAATAAGGCCTCTTCGGCTCCCCACGAAGTCCGTTTATGTGTCATGGTACCTGGTACATGTCATTGCCCAAGAACACACATGTAAGCAACGTAGAAGACTGACGTATGCTCTGGACTAATGTACATTCTATGTTGCGTAACAAAACCAACGCCCTAGTCTAAGGATTCAGGCAGTTCACGTCTAAACACCCTACTGCATAACCCCGAATCCCAAACCCTAAATCGCAATCGCTCAACCCTGTTCACACAAATCCTAGGCACCAAATCCTGCACCCTCGACCCCGCAAATCCCGCGCGCTCAACCCTAAAAATCCCAAACCCTAAACCCCTTAAATCACACACCATCCACCCTACCAACCCAAACTCTCAACCCGAAATCCCAAATCTAAACCCTATCAATCCCAAACCCTCATCCCTACATAGCCTATTCTGATTCATGAGGCCTGTACAATCCCTTCATTGTTATAAAAGTCCCTAAAAGTTTTAGCCCCTTAATAGAACAGATATTTGTTTTTGTCGCTAAAAATCCCTAAACCCTAAACCTTAGACCCTAAACCCTAAATCCTACTAAACCTTAGACCCTAATCCCTAAACCTTAAGCCCTTAACCCTCCACTCTCAACCCTAAAACCCTAAACCCTAAACCAGCAACCAAGAAAACCCAGCGGCTGCGGCCGCTGCGGGGGACAGCTCCAAGGCTTGGCAGCGGGGTGGCTCCGCAGCTCCTCAGGGCCTGGAGATTTTGCAGGGTTGCTGCTAAGGCACTTAATCATATGGGCATTCATAGGGTATGCGGTTGAAGTTACCATAGTTTAGGCTTGCTGGTAAGGAACTTAAATTAAGCTACAATAACATGGGCATATGTGGGTTAGGGTGTGAGCTACCATAATATGGGTATATGGTAAATAGTACCGTTTCCTTGCTATAGAAGCTGAAAACCAGGCTTTTGACAGCAGCCCGAGGTAACTTTACCAATGATGGAGAATCAAATGGCAAGGCAACCTAACATGAAATTGAAACTGGCAGGAATCTTTAAGTTGGCCCAATGTAAGGGGCACGCGTAACTCAGGACTCCCATGTATGTGGTCCCGTTTGGGCTTGCTTAATTGCTTGCTGGTTCTCAGTAGGGAAGAGAAAATCACATGGAAAGTACTAATTCAAGCTTTAGCTTGAGGATTTAGGGTTTAGGGATGAGGACTTACGGTTTAGGATTCATATTGGTTTGGGGCTTGGAGTTTAGCAGGGATTGTAGAAGCTCATGGCGGAAAATAGAATGGACGTTTGGATTAAGGGGTTAGGGTCGCGGGATGAAAATGGAAAATCCAGTCCGCAAATTAAATGAGATATTGTTCAGGGTTCAGGGCTAGATAGCTGGATGATCGAAGGGAATGGCACATGGAAAAGGACACGGAAATGGCTGTGTAGCGTTTCGGGGTCACTACAGTTTGGGTTTAGGGTGTGGGGAAGGACAAGAAAATGGAAACTCTTATCTTCTGGGTCGTTCCAAGGAGACTACTATGCGGATCCATGCCTCCTTTTTCTGCAGATTATGGTGTTTGGTACCAAAAACCATTATGCTTGAGCCCTGGACCTTAAGGGAAGTGGGTTTGTGGGGGATGACCAAGGGGTCTCAATGTGACGGTTTAGGGTAGAGGGACAGAATTCATAAGTAGCTTCCCCTAGTCAACAACTGAGAGAAAGTAGATTTACTCCGAACTGCCACCCAGAGAACCCCTTTGAAACCTGGAGGGACTACACTAATCCCTGTAAGCCTTGTCTCCAAACCCTTTCACATTTACATTTAAGCCCTTCAAGTCCAACATTGTCTTAGCTTCTGTATCCCAACGGACTGGCAGCTCTTTCTACTAGCTGTGTATATATATATATAATGAGTGTACATAGGGTACCATCTAAGTTAGTGTTATGTGAAGTAACAAAAAGGCAAGAGCTATTCCCCCCCCTTGGCTCACTCTAGGTGAGTCGTCCGGCTAACTAGGATCCTCAGTATCCTAGGAATAAAAAGAGGCCCCTTGTTTGGTACAACCCAAATACACCAGGACTCAAAAAAAAGGGGGGAAAGGGGTCAAAGTTACGGTTCTTTCTTGGGTTCCCCAAATAGTGCGGGGCCTATTCAAAGAACCCTCAAAAAATCATAATCTTGACAACCTAGGTTATAGTGGGGATAGTGGAAAAGAAAATGGAAACTATAGGGATTATAGGGTTTATATAGGGGTTATATTACCAGAAAAAATTAGGGCAGGCCTGGCAGCTCGGGCAGATTCCCCCGCAGTGTGGGAGCGTCTCCGTCTACGGCGGCAACGCCGCGGCGTGGACGAGCCGCGGGAGCTGAGGAATAGGGTTTAGGGTTTAGGGGTTTAGGGTTCAGGGTTCAGGGGTTTAGGGTTTAGGGTGAGCTTAGGCGTTTAGGGTTTAGGGTTGAAGGCTTGGTAGGGGCTGAGGGCTTCAGGTGAGTTTAGGCTCTTAGGGTTGGGGCCGGGGGCTAAGGGTTTGAAGGGCTTGGGGTTTTGGGCCATGTGGCGGGTTTATGGTGTTGTGGATTCTTGCCTTTGGGCTTCAGAAGCATCATCCCTGAGCCTGACTGGGACCACTTGCATTTTTGGGAGTGACAAAATTTTGTCAGAAAAGGTTTGACAGCTCCTTAGGCTGGAACATTGGAGCGGTTGGCCAAGGGCGGTTTACAATTGTGAAGTCTCAAAGGTACGCTTCTCCTTAAGGAGCTTGCACAAACTGATCTCGAAGTAGGGGACTGTCTGGGTACCTGGCCTGGGCCACAAGGCAACCCCAGCCTTACGTGCAGGAACATGGGGGGGCCCAACATGAAAACTACCCGGCCCAACAGTCTTTGATGACTGGTTGCATCCAGTTTCCTGTGGCTTATGCCCATCTAGAGCGGCTGATACCTATAGAGGCAGGGGACCTGGGACGGCTGGTATATACCCCCAGCATAGTCGCTTACGAATAACCCAACCACCTCTAGTATCAGATATATGCCCCAATACATCTGGGCTGCTATAGAAAGGGTTTCATGTTGCGGGGCTCACTTTAATGTATCTGGCATTCCCGCACAATCCGCGTGTTGTCAAGTTCCTCAAGCCCTAAGCTGCGTGGCTTCCGTCTGGAGTACGGCAGCCCAAAATAAAGCCCGATATATTCCTCAATTAGGGAACACATCTGAGTGATACCAGTATCCCTAACATAATGTAACATATATTCCCGAATTAAGGGATATGGTGCTGTCCTAAAGTCTACACAAAACCCTACTGAAAGCATATTGGGCTGTCTGGGAGCGCTAGAGTACGTTTGCAGAACTCAAGCCTAAGTCTTGAGAAACTTCAGAAGCCCTTAATTTGTTTTTTGATGATTTTTGCGGTTTAGGGCTTAGGGCTTATGACTTTACTGTTGAGGCCTAAATAACTAACACTATTTATTGTGTTGTGGTGCTAGATATCCTGTACGTCAGATGGACCTCAACATGATGTTGGTACTTATTTGGGCACCTAAAGCTCCAAACTCCTCAAGCCTTTAAGCCCTACAATGCCTTCAAGCCTGAAATCCAAAACAACCCAGAAGGCTGCCTGCTTGGTTCGGAAGCTCCCGGCTGGTCACTACCAGCTCTTCCTGATCATCCCGTTGAGAATCTCCATTTTTCAAAACATCTCAAAGATCACGCGGGTTCCGCTCCAAATGCCCACATATCAGGAATCCAGCAACTTAAGGATGTCGGCATCATAGTCCAAAAGAATGAGCTTCTGGACAGGAGAAGGTTTGATGACGGTCTGGGATAAAAGAGGGTTCAGGATTCAGACTCTGGCTGAAGCGGAGTAAGAGAGGTAACAAAACCGTGC